CCTGCCCCTCACCTGGGATTTGTTCAGGTCAAAGGTTCACAGTCTCCCTTGATTGGCTAAAAGGCTTGGGGGATGGGTTAGGGCAGACAATAGAGTTGTACAGGAATCCAGGAGAAGAAGCAAGGACCCTTTAAACATGCAAGTCACCTAAGATGGCGACCTGAGGAATTGTTAAGTAATCTAAGAGGGGAATAAATGCTTTGATAGAAAAGATCATTTTTCTTACATTATTGAGTTGGACCCAGGCTCTACTATTAAGATATTAATTATAGAAGATTGATAAATTGCAAATGACTTTTGTCTAACAGAGATGAAAATTATTTCTTTTTTGTAGCGTTAAACACAAAGCTGACCATTTTATTATCCAGTAGACCATTTAACCAGTTTTGAATTTATTCCAGCATTACTTTTTTTCTTTCATCAAATACACACAGAAGCACGTGCGCGCACACACACACTGTGATGTGTGATTCTCTAAATCAGTTTTACATCCTTTTGACTACTAATAAGTTAGATAAGGCATCGACATATCATTATATTCTTGTACTTTTAAGTTTTTGAAATTTATACTTTGACATCTGCAAGAGTTAGTTCTTCCTTAACTTTGTCATTACCCTCCTATCTTCTGGGTTCGTGGACTTGAACCCTGAGCACCTGTTCCAAATCCTCCCTTACTCCCAAAACAAAGCAGTCCCCACACTCATTATGGTTTCATCTCCCAGCTTCTCTTGGAGCTGTCCCCTCTACTCTATTTCCACAGCTACTGTTATAGACTAAGGCTCTGTTCCTGCTCTCCTGAATTGTACAACAGCTCCTATCTGGATCTTCATAACTAATCCAATTTGCTCAAGGCTTGTTGCTCAAGCCCCACAGAAGACCCTCCAGCACTTCGGTCACCCTCCCCCAAGCCCTTTGGTGGCTCCTCATGACCCAATGATAGTGGTGAGACACAGTTCCTCAGCTTAATTTCAAAGGCCCTCCAGAATTTGACCTCAAGCTTATCTTCAAGCTGACTGTCCTTCTTCCTCTCCATTCATGTGTACTTTCTTAGTCCTCCATTTGGCCTGTCTGCCTGAAAAACCTCTGTTCTGTTTCTGCATGTCTGAACCCAAGTATTGTGTAACCCCAGCTTGAATTAGCTCCACTGTACTGGTCCTTCGAGCTGAAAGTCACTTCTCTTTGGTGTAAGTTCCTACATCTTTTATGGCACATAGCACATTTTATTTAGTGACATGGTTCTGTGTGGACATTTCTGTGGCCTCATCTTAGGACAGCATCCACAATCCAATTTATATCCACACATTGTTGCCTAACCTTGCTAACATAGATGAGTCAGTGAAATTTTGAGTAGGATCTGCTAAAAAATTAAACTCTCAACTGAGAAACTGCATCAAGTTATCCTTTGAATGTCTAACATCCCATCAAATTGTATTTTCCCAGTCTATCTCTTCTCGTGAATGTTTTTTTCCTCTCATTTAAAAAATATTAAATGATGTTAAAGAATAAAAGTAAATACTCTTTAAACCTAAATAAAATGCATGTTCCTTTCTTCTTTTTGGTTCATCTTTTCAGCATAAATAAGGTTTTTCATTTTTGATGTGGTGAATATCACCATTTGACTATTCAGTTTGTTTGTTTATTAATGACAGTGACAGTTTTCTGTGAAGATGCACCCAGTTGAGGGTTTCCCTATATAAGAAAAGCCCTGAAATCTTTATTTGGTCTTTAATTTATTAAGAAAACACAAGGCATAATCTATGTCTAACTAGGAGCACCCCCAAATCAGGGCAAAGGAAATTACCTGCTGCCTACCACAAACTGTCTTCCATTCTTTCATTCAGGGCAGAAGAGCTTGTTTCAAAAGTATATTCCCATGTTCCACTCAAATTCAGAATCTTGAGGCCTGGATCTCCAAGAAAGCTGATTTTTAATTAATTTTACAGATGATTCCTATTCACCCTGAAGTTTTTCACAGGCTAAATTCTTACCTTCCTCTAAATGCAAAGAAAAGCAGACAGCCCTAAGAGAGTGGTCGAGTTCATCCTAAATAAACCAAGGTCTTGAGAGAGTTTGTTCTTTTCTCCTGTCTCGGTTCCTTTGTAATTTCCTTCCACCAGTATTTCCTTTTGAAAAGTTGGAATTGTTGTGCAGTGCACACCTGTATACTCTACTTTCCCTTAGCATGTGACCATAGCTGCTTCATAAGGGGTTCTATCTTTCACCCATCTCTCTAGTCATTAGCCCAACTTCTTTTTCTTTTGGATGAATTTCAAAGGAAATGTCAGATATCATAGTCTTCAGTTTGGGATGGTGATGACTTGAAGACTCAATAGGGCACAACAGTAACACTGGTGAACACAGTAACCTCCTTTTATTGGGTAGAATTGGTGACTGTGGGCTGGAGAAGTAATTCAGTGTACTTAGCGTGCTAGAGGCCCAGGGTTCCATCCCCAACAGAGAGAGAGAGAATGAGAATGAGAGGAAAGAGAGAGGAAGGAAGGAAGGAAGGCAGAAATAAAGAAACAGAAAAAAGAGAGAAAGAGAAAGAAAGAAGAAGGAAAGAAAGGAGGATCTGGTGATTGCTTGGCCCTGGGGGGACAGTTAGAGTGCATTTAATCAAAGACAGAAAGATAGCTTTTGCTGGCTGTACACACAGCCTCTGCAGAGTTGTATCCACTTGTCTCTGTTCATCTGAATGGGAGCCTTTGTTTTATTACTGGAAGAAGATAGGCAGTTCGGGGTGATAAATGTGGAGGCTGCTGGCAACAGTAGCCCTTGTCCTGTCTGTGGGTTTTGAGCATCTACTGGGGAGCTGAGTTAGAGGCTTAGTGGTTTGCAGTTAGTGGTTGGCAGCTAGCATGTGAGTCAGACAGAATAGGCCTGCATCCTAGCTGCTCCTGGATGTTTGAACTTGAATACTACTCAGCCTATCGGCCTTAGTTTCTTCACCTGTAAAAGGTAGGTAATGATAGCACCTACCTATGTATGGCTAACTTGAAGGCCTCAATTTCAGTTGCTAAAATGTAATTACATCATTGATACATTCCCTTAAATTCACACAAAATTAACATAGATTACTATAGTAGTTGGTGAACAAGACAGAGACAAATAAACTGGGCATGGTTGTGCATGCCTATAATCCCAGAACTTGGGAGGGTTAGGCAGGATGATGCAGAACTGGAGGCCAGCCTGATGTCTCAAAAAAACCCCAAACCAAAGTGAGGGGGGCAGCAGGAATCAATCCTCAAAGTCTTTCCTGAGAACTAGTTACTTAAAATGAAGTCCAGCCAGGGCTGGTGGCTCATGCCTGTAATCCTAGCTCCTGATCTCAGGAGGCAGAGATCAGGAGGATCAGAGTTCGAAGCCAGCCTGGGGAAATAGTTTGCAAGATCCTATCCCGAAAAACTCTTCACAAAAATAGGGCTGGTGGAGTGGTTCAAGGTAAAGGGCTGAGTTCAAGCTCCAGTACCGCCAAAAAAAAAAAGAAGTCCAAATTTTCCCCTGATCTGCATGGCCCCTACATTATCTGGACTCTGCCCATGTCTCCAGCTTCTCCTGATCTTCTCCATCAATTAGCCCTAGTCACAGTCTTGGGTTACAGATTGAGCTAAGCTCACTTGGTCCTCAGGACATTTGCACGTGCTATTCCCTCTGCATGAGGGTCACTCCCCAGATCTTTGCAATACTGGCTCCTTCACAAATATTGGGTTTCACTCAACACAAATATGGTGGCCCTCAGAGATGCCTTTCTTGACCATGTAAGTAATGGCCTGTTACCCACACATCTCCATCACATCATATCACAGATGCTTCTCGACTCACAATGGGGTTAGGTCTTGGTAAACCCATCAAAGCTTAAATATATCAAACATTGTGAATACATTTAAAACAGCACTCCTTGCCTACCAAACAGTATCCCTTAGCCCAGCCTTCCTTAATTAGCTCAGAGCACTTACATTGGCCCACATTTGAGGAAAAAAATCACTGAACACAAAGCCTATTTTATAATAGTTGATTTTCTCATGTCATTTATTGAAAAGATCAAAATTCAAAATTCAAAATGTGTTTTCTGAATGTGTGACAATTTTGTACCACTGCAGAGCCGAAAAATCCTAAAGTGAACCACTATTGAGACCATCAGTATCTTCGTGGTGTTACTAGTGTTTGAACTCAGGACCTCATGCATGCTAGGCAGGTGCTCTACCACTTGAGTCACTCCATCAGCCCTTTTATGGGCTGGTATTTTCGAGATTAGGGTCTTGTGAGCTATTTGCCCAGGCTGGCCTCAAACCGCCATGCTCCTGATCTGTACCTCCAGAGAAGCTAGAATTACAGGCTTGAGCCACCAGCGCCCTGCACTACTGAAATTTTTGTTAACCGATTTACTTGCTTATTAATTGTCCTACTTTTAGCACCAACTTTTGTTAGTACATGGCTGTGACCCCAGCGACTAGAATAGGGTTGATTGCACACTGTAGGCACACAAAAAAGAGTAAATGAATGAATGTCTGGAAGATGCAAGACAGAGGGAAGTGAGAAATAAATCAAGAGTCCATGGTAGGGCTAGTGGAGTGGCTCAAGTGGTAGAGCAACTGCCTAGCAAGCGTGAGGTCCTGAGTTCAATCCCCAGTACTGCCAAAAAAAAAAAAAAAAAAAGTAAATTTAGCACGTGGGAAACCCTGTGTGTAATCCCAGCACCACTATTTAAAAAAAAATTTTGGTGGTACTGGAGTTTGAACTCAGGGCCTTGAACTTGTTAGGCAGGCGCTCTACGACTTGGGCCACACCCCAGCCCCCTAGCACCACTTAAAAAAAAAAAGTCCACAGAAAGTTCTAAGTCTTCATCAAAAGCCAGAACTCCAGGAGTTAACTGAAGTTGGAGAAGGCCTGAGTTGCAAACGGAGGGGGCGTGGCGAAGGAAGGGGGCGTGACCGAGCCGACCGGAAGCGGGGGCGGAGGCCCAGGAAGTGACGCCTCCCCCAGTCGCGCTGCTGGGACTGGTGCAGAACGGGCGAGGTCCGTGGCGCGGTGCGATGGAGAACGGAGCGGTGTACAGCCCCACCACCGAGGAGGACCCGGGCCCCGCCAGGGGCGCCCGGGGCGGCTTGGCCGCCTACTTTTCACTGGCGCGGCTTCCGTGGCACCGGCGCGTCCTCAAGAGCCTGCAGCTGGTGAGTCCGCGGGCGGAGGGCGGAGGGCGAGCGGGGGCCGGCCGGGAGTCCGGGGACCAGGGACCCGCGGGCTTGGGACGCTGCCGAGCGGCGGCTCCCCAGTCTGGGTGCTCAGGAAGCGGTTGTTTCCACACCCCAGTTCCTTCCTCTCCACCTGGGAAGGGGCGTTGCCCTCCGCCGCGGCCCCCTTTGCGGGGCCATCCCTCCCCGTGGAAGGACCCAGCAAGAGTCGGACACCCGCTTGGACGTCTCATATGTCCCTCTCTAGTTGGCCTCCATTATCGCCCAGAGTGCTTCTACTCAGACCACTTGGGGCTTTCTGTTTATCTTCTCTGGCTTTTGCGGTTTTCCTGGTACCAGCCCATTAGGGCAGGTTAACTTGTTATGTTAGGCAGTCTTGTATGTATGTGGGTTCGAGGTGCAGCGGTGAAGGAACTGCTTTTTTTGGTTATGTGCAGGTAGCAGAACTTAGATATATATGATTCTTTTTTCATTTCACTGCGTTACAGTTTATTTTCGGCAGTTAAAATGTGCCATAAACTTATTAGTGAAAATATAAAATATTAAGAGCATTTTTAATTAGTAAGCATTTTGATTATTAAGCAATTTAAATTAGATTTCAGTCGACACTCGTATTACGAGTGTCGTTTCTGTGTACTGTTTCAGCCACGGATGACTGTCATTTTCTGTAAGAGGAGCATTTTTGGAAAAAAAATCAGAATGCTTAGGATGTTTATGGGTTTTGTTTTGGGTTGTATTTAACCATTCCAAGTGAAAAATAGCTCATTGATTTCCGTAAATCCTTAACAACTCAGATGACCAGAGTTGAAATTCTTGGAACTGAGATGACCTACTTTTATTGGCTAGAAAAGCAGGAGTCAGGAAACTGGCGTTTCTTTTAGCCATCAGAATGATTGTATCGAGGGATGATTGGGAAATCACTTGGAAACAAGTGATAATGTGTTCCGTGGCACTCAAGAAGATCTGGACCTGTCTGCCCTCCCAGCCTTCTTCTAGGCAGTTCCACCCTGGCCACCTTAGGTCCTTTGCACAACCTGTTCCTTCCAGTTGGAAGGGCTTTGTTCTGTTCTTCCTCTTGTGGGTTTTCACATGAGTTTTAATAGCAGCTATGCCTCTGTGCAGTACAGTATAAATGTCTGTACATGACTAGTAGAAGGCTTTGAAACATTCTTGCTACAAAAAGAAGTCATCTGTACTGATCTGATGTCCATTAAATCTCCTGCTTTTTGGTTGCTTTTGTTTTTCTTATTTAATCAGAAGTGGTAGGCTAAAGTAAAATTTCTCATTACTTTATTATACTTTAGTAAACTGTAGTTCCATATTCTCACAATAAAACACAACTTGAAATTTTGTTGGTAGACTTTTTACTGTATGCAGAAGTTAATTTGCCTTGAAAAAGTTGTTAGCTATTTGTTCTCCACCATTCATAAGAAGAAATGGGGAAGGAATGAAAACTGATGTGTCTTCATGAAATTCACTTGTTTGTTTAGGGGGAACTTGTAATGTTATAAGGATACTTTCTTTAATACAGAGTTTTAAAATGTTTTTTCACTACTGCCTTTCACTATGATGGTTGTGCTTTTGTTCCTGCTTTGTCTGATTTAATTATGTATTATGTCTTCATGATAACAGTATATTACAGAGTTACCCAGAAAGTCCCAAGGAAGTTATAGATGAAGTCCATAAAAACTGTCATCCAGCATGGGCAGTAGGGAAGGTCTTATTTGCCTTAACTCAGATTCTGTCTCTTGATTGTCTTCCTTTAGCTGATTTATTTTGAAAAATAGGGTTGAAAAGCTCCAATAAGGAAACATTGTAATAGAGAAACCCTAATCAGAAGAGGAGGTACAGTATTTTAGCAAGGAACCTTCAAACCTTGAGAAATGATATTTAAATTGTTGCACATTTACGTGTTCTAAAACTTAAAAAGCAAACATGATGTACTTGGAAAGTTCATACATTACAGTCCTAGGAGGTTGAATTGGATTGTCTCTGAGGTTCTTTACACTCAAGATTTTTTTTTTTGAAATCTCTGAGGCTAGGTGGGGCTTGCTGTTACAAATCTGAACACCGAAGCGGGGGTGTAGGCTCCTCCTGCACACACACAGGAGATTAGAGATAGAAAAGCACAGCTTTTGCAGTGATTAGAGTTAGGTAGCTGTGTTGAGTTTTGTCACAGGCTTGCCTGAAAGATAAGCATCTGCTAACTGCCATACACCCTTTCAGAGCTGAAGAAGAAATGCTGTTTTATGTAATTAGTTTTCAGTTTATTCTGTCCATAGATTTGTCCTTATGCTTATATTTTATTTTTTATTACTTAATTTTTTTTTTGATGATGTAGAACTTAAATGACTAGTCTGTATGATTTTTCCTTTTTTTTTTTTTTTTTAATGGAATCACATAAGGGCTGGTGGAGTGGTGGTAGAGCACTTGCCTAGAAAGCATGAGGCCCTGAGTTCAAACCCCAGTATCACCAAAAAGAAAAAAATGCTACATAAATGGAATCACACATTCTAAGATCTATTTACCAGTAAAACCATAAAGACTAGAGGTGTGGCTCAAGCAGTAGATCATCTGCTTTGCAAGCATGAAGCCCTGAGTTCAAACCTCAATCCACCCCCCACCAAAAAAAAAATACAAATAAACCATAATGACATTTATTCCATGTTCGTACACTCTGCTCTTCCAAGTTTGCAGTCCATTACCATGCTTGTATTTTATTTTGTGAGGTCTTTATTTATTTTGAGGGAGCTGGTTTTGCATTAAGGGGAGAATTGACATTTGGCAACCTAATTACTTGCTACTTAGCAGTGTAGTGACTTAAATATGTGAAATTTTCTGTCTGCAACAAGCTCCACATTGTGTCTGTGGCACCAGTTGAATTTATGAAGGCTACACAGCTCTGGAATTACAGCCATTCTTCAGGCAAGCAGTTTTGGGATTCACCAGTGATTTCAGTTTATTCAATTATAAATAATGTTATTCTGTAAGTAGCAAGAAATAACTCATTGAGAAGCAGTCCCTTTTATTGATGTTCCTTTCATTCCTTAAATGTGAAAATTGATGCATACTAAATTGAAATGCTATATTTTTGCCTTGAGGAAGATCCATAATGTCAGCAGTTCTATCACTAAACCTTTGTAAGAATAAATACTTGCTTAAAGCAGGGAGGTGTAGCCTGTTTCTTCAGACTGACAATTTTATTTGAACCTTACTTATAACTGAAGTTTTTATAGCATGTTCATTAATTCATAAATTCATATAGTTTTGAGGTGATGCCTTGCAATTAATGGCAAACAGTAAAAAGTTCTTAGAAAAATTTTTAGTAGTAGACCATTAAAGATAAGTGATGGAGAATTAGTATTGAATATAGTGACTATTGGTTTTAAAGAAGATTTAAAATTCCAGTAAAAGGCTGGGCGCTGATGGCTCAAGCCTGTATTTCTAGCTACTCAGGAGGCGGCACCCAGGAGGATTGTGGTTCGCAGCCAGCCTAGGAAATAGTTCGTGAGACCCTATCTCGGAAAACCCTTCACAAAAAAAAAATGGACTGGTGGAGTGGCTCAAGGTGTAGGCCTTGAGTTCAAATCCCAGTACTGCAAAGAAAAAAGTTTCAGTAAAGGTAGTGAAGCTGAAATGGGGATAGAGTAGTCATTCATAATCTGAATGCTTAAATCACCAGAGCTGTGCTTAAGACCATCTTTTAGTCACAGACTTCCCAGATGAACCTAGCATTTTTTTTTTTCTTGAGTCAGGGTCTGTATTTTGCCCCCCAGGCCAGTCTTGAACACTTGAGCGCAAGTGATCTTCCTACCTCAGTCTTTAGAATAGCTTTGTCTACAAGTGTAGATCACCCCCATAAACCACCTACCACCTTTGGCTTAAAATTTGTTTTTAGTATATGATTTAATAGCAAAAAGAAAATATATAAAAAACTGTGGTTGCAACTTGGAAAGCCCATTCTTACAGAACTGTAGCTCAGTTGTAGACTACTTGCCTCGTGTGCGTGAGACCCTGAGTTCAATTTCTGACACTGTAAAAGAAACAAAAAACAATCTTACAGAGAAAACCTACATATTCATAAAATGAACTTAGTAAACTGTTTTATGGAGATAGCAAGTACAGAGTGGGAACCAGGGGACATGGATTTTTATCTGTGCCTGGCTAATGCAGGCCTGGCTTACCGCATCAGAAGCTTTATTCCATCTGTAAACTTGAAGATGGAAAATTATATATTCTCCAGAGGTCCTCCCAATTCTAAAAGCTTGATAATTCCCATAATTATATTTGGGTAAAATTTTGTCCTTAGAAGGCGCTATACTGGACATATAGTTGTTAGGTACTTTAACATTCACTAAACAGTATTTAGTGTGATAGCTTCATGCTACTGAAAGCAAAACTGTTTACAAAAAGTAATAATTGAGCCTTTTTACATACGGTTACATTCATCATTAGCTTCTTATCTGTATCAGTGATGTTTTCTTTCTACCTATCCTTGACACTTCAGTATTTAATGGTGGTAATTACCCATTGGTTGAAATTCTCCCTTCCCTTAACCATCACATTTTTTTCTTTTTTAGTGTAAAGAGTATCTGTTTATTTAAAAAATCAACTAAAATGGGATTTAAATAAAATAAGCCACACTCCCACCCCTCATACACTCCCAGGCATCACTGTTTGACTTAACAGTTTGGAGTATGTTTACAGTAAGCCTTCTTATTCACAGATTTATAACACGTGGTTTTGACCAAAAGTGGTAAAAAAGTAACAAAAAATTTTTGTAAAAATTTTACGTTCCTGCGTGTACATTGCGCATCACGGTGGATGTGGAGAAGCTCTCAGTCAGCTCTCGGTCAGCTCTGCTTTGTCATCAGTTGGGTTAAAAATGTGTGATCTGCTGTTTCCCTGCCCTTCATTTTGTAACAATCTGCCTCCCAAAGAGCAAGGTAAAGGTAATGTGCTTAATTGAAGTGATGAAGTGAGAACTTGAGATCTGTTGAAAGGCGCACGTCTTCAGCAGAAGTTGGGCAGCATCACGGGGAAAAAGGAATTGAGCATCTGCTGCAGCACTGAACTCTGCATCCTGAGATGCTCCGTGTTTCTCACCATAGTCTCCGTGGAACCATACACCGCGGATACCAAGGGTCCACTGTACTTGCTTTTTCAGTGTGCCTAGTTTTTTTATTGTTTGTTTTGTTTTTCCACACACTTCCTAATCCTGTGCTGGTTGCTCTTTTCCCTCCTACTCTGCACTGTAGATTTTCTTCAGGCTTTGCTCTTTGGTCTTATAACCTTTATTGAAGCAGGTAGCATTCCGGGGGCCTTCATCTAAAAGTACACATTCCCTTGCATGATCATTATGCACCACACCCAGTTCCTTTGCATTTACCTCATCGTCCTTAACTGGTTAGGTCAGCTCGTTACTGTCCCTTTACACTTACATGCAAATTCTTCCTTTCTCACATCTGGGGGGTTTTTTGTCTCCCACCTGGAATCTCCTATCCAGATTCTGTGCATCTCTCAACCCTGGTTTGGGTGCTGCTCTTCCACTCATCATTCTTCAAAACTCTCAACATTTTCCTGATGAATATTCAGTTATGGGGGTATAAAACATACTGATGTCTTATTGTTTATTGTACTTGATCTTATTCCTCCATCATATTATACTCTTGGCAACATAATAGTCAAGTACACTTTGTGCTAGAGACTTAATCATGCTGTGGGTGATTACAAAGGAAGGCTAGTGGCCTCTGAGATGGGAAGGCAGGAGGATGATAGCTTGAAGTGCTAATTTCTTGGCCTTTAAAACTGGGGACAGGTGCTAGTAAGAGCCAAACTTCACTCCCTTAGGATGGACAGCAGAAGCTGCCTCTTAGTACTGCTGTGAGGCTGACAAGAATGCTTCTAGTTACTTGAGCCTGGCTTTGGAACAGGTGGATCCTGCCCTTTTCTTCCCCAGACCAGACAAGCAGTCTGTGCCTCTGTTGCAGATAAGGTGTTGCTGTCACGCAGCCTTCACAAGTGGTCCTGGTGATCTCATTTTTATAATAAGAGTGTCTCAAGAATACTAATTCTAAACCTCAATTAGAGTTTTAGACTGGTATCTTCTCACAGTTAATTGACTTTTATACATGCGAGATTTAATTTGGAAATCTCTCATAAACTCTTAAAACTTGCACAAAATTTTAAAAAGGTTAACAATAAGTGGAATATCAGACATTTATTTTTTAATTATACTAAAGTCATAAAAGTTCATTCTGTAGTTATAATTGCAGGAGATTAAGGAAATACATCTCCATGATGACCTCTGGGAGCTGTCTTGATATGTTACGTTGCATCATGTGTTGTAATTATTGGGACTGTCTCACCTAACATCTGTCTGAGCAATGTTTGGGTTGTGCAGGGCTATTTCATGCCTCGTTAGTTTACAGGAAATCAGAGCAATGGAAGCTCTTTTTGTCCTATAAATTCTTTTTAGTTGTGGGGATATATAAATTCTGTATTGCCAGGAAGGAGAGGGATCCCTTGAAGAGCTTACCTACCAATTAGATTGGACCTCTTTTTTTTTTTTACTTTTTTATTTTGATAAAATTACAGATTCACAAGAAGTTACGTCCTTTGTAATCTCTGTGTGTGTGTGTACGGAGGGGATAATTCTGTGTAATTTTATCACATGTATAGATTCCTATAGTTACCACCATAATCAAGATACAGAACTGTTCCATCATCAGAGGGCTTCTGCGAGTGTCACCTCATGTTGCCACACCTTCCCCCTTGCCCACCACTAATTTGTAGTAGCCACTATTTTGTTCTGCTCCTCCCTAATTTTCATTATTTACAGAATGCTATATAAATGGTTTCATACAGTGTGTAACTGAGGTTTTTTGTTTTTCTCTGGTGGTTGGTCTAGAGCATTTTCTAAATAAAGTTTGTTCCTTTTTATTGCTAATTTTCGATGCTGTGGATATGTCACAGTTTTAACTGTTGAAGGATATCTGCATTGTTTCTAGTTTGTGGCAATTATGAATAAAATTGTCATGAAAATTCATGTACTGCTTTTTGCACAAACATAAGTTTCCTTTCTCTGAATAAATGCCCAAGAGTGCAGTTGCAGGGCCACAGGGTAGATGTTGCTTAGTTTCTAAAGAAAACCTGTTTTCCAGAGTTGTTATATTATTGACGTCTTTTTTAGTGGAGATGAAGGGATAGATGCTTGGTATATACTGTGAAATGTATCTGTTGATTTTTTTTTTGGCAGCACTCTCATTGCCATTAATGTGTCTGGTGCTTCTTCTGGCCTCAGTGGTGCAGGATGGCATTTCCCTTTTAGGCTTTGACTTGAGTCACCAGTCATTTTCATGGTGTTGACACTCAGAAGGAAACTCCCTCAGTTTCCATGAAATCCACACAAACTGCCTGAGTGAGCAGTTTCTAAGCTGATAAAGAAGAGTTAGCCCCAGACCTGAGCCTTGATCCTCCCTTTAGAGAGCGTCTTTGCTGTCTTTACACCACCCATCTAGTTGGTTTCTGCCTAAGCATTAAAATGTGCCTGTGCCCTCCCATCTTAACAGTCCCTTCCCTTTGACCTCACCACAACAGCCCTCTGGCACTAGTTCCAAGGCACACTTCTGCTGTCTGTTCTGCTGCCTTGACTTTCTCTCACTGCCCGGAATTTCTTGATGATGTTGCCAGTAACTTTCTTGTAGCTCAGTCTAATGCATGTGTGTACATGTCCTCTCCTGACCTCTAAGTAGCCTGTAGTAGTCATTACCCTCTTCTTGTGGACTTACATTTTCTTACCTATGTGGGCTGCTGCTCCTAGTTCTTGCTGGTGTCCCTGCTCTCAGATCCTATAAAAGTTGGGATTCCAGCTTTTCCTCATTCTGGTGATCTGGTCCTCTCACTTGGCTCCTCTTACATCTTCATCTGCATCTCACACCTCTCCCCAAGCTCTAGATCCATGTCTCCATTTGCTTCCTAACTGCATCTCCATCCAACTCTTCAACTCTCCTGGTCATAGAACATTTCAAACAGAATTCTCTCCCTAGCACCCTTGCCTCTTAAAATGAAAGAGAAAAATAACTCATTCTTTCTGCAGTGAGGCACCAGCATGCTAATACCACAAGTACATGGTGAGTGGGGTATTTAATTGAGTTGCTGGGTAATCAGAGTTAACCATTCTCTAATCACTGTGCCAAGAGTCAGATGCCACACCTGCCACCCACAGCCTGTCATGGCCAGCAGGGGCCTCAGTTGAGGTGTGCTGTCCCCACCCCAGGTGATGCTTTTTATGGTCAAACATTGAATTAGATATTACACAAACAAAATCGAGTGTGAAAAGAAATTGTTTCTATGAAAACTATAGTGAATGATTTGGAAAGACTGTAAGTTACTAAAGTATTCATTGGCTGGGGAGTTACATAAGGGCAGCTGTAAAAGATGCACCAAACTAGTCTGACTGTGAAAAGAGTCTGTGCTCTGTTTCTCAAGTGCCCAAGATCTCACTCCACTCCAAATCACATTGGTCTGGATGTGTAGCCCATAAATAATGAGAGCCTTTAATGCACAAAGCATGGTGAGTAATTCCAAAGAGGAGACCTGTGCTCAAAGAAACAAGCACTTCAGAAGACTAGTGAATAAATGTGCCTTTTTGTTTTAAGAAAAAAAGTCACATAGTTAGAGTACATAAGTATTATCTTGCGTTCCACTTTATTTGTCCTCCTTCCGTTTGGTAAAAGCTGCTTCCGCATCTCAGTGCAGCCACCCTTCTCCATTACTGCTACCCCTGGACATCATCTTCCTTGATTTCCTACTTCATCTCCAGTCCCCTCTCCGTTTTGGAGCTGGCAAGAACTGTAAAAGCAAAAATCTCATCAATCCCTACCCCCCTTACCTCAAAACCCTTTAAATCCAGACCCCTTAAACTAATTGATGAGATCTAATTTCTGTGCTGGCCTTCCCTTCCCTCAGACTCTACACTGCGGTCATGTTGGCCTGACTGCCTTCCACAGTTCATTTGGGGAGGAAGCACCATGCTCTCCTTTTTGGCCCTTGTGTGTACTGTTCCTCTGCCAGGAACTTCTCTCCCTATCTTTCAGCCAAGATTGATCTTCTGTCCTTCAGATTTCAGCTTTCCTTCTGGAAGCCCTTCTGCTGGGCTTTTCTAACAACTCCCTGATTTTCCTGTTCTGTTCTAGCGTTTAGCACACGGTGGTTAATTGCCTGTATTCCCTTGCAAGGCAAGTTGACTTTCTGTGTAGATGAGGCTCATTAACTAACCTTGTTTGCTGCAGTCTCTGTAAATACTTGAGTGAACAGATGGTGGACTTTTTTGGTTTTGTTTTAGGGGGAAAAGAGGGTCTTGCTATGTTGCCAAGGCTGACCTTGAACTTTTGATCCTTCTATCAGTCTTCTGAGTAGCTTGGATTACAGGTGCATCCATCATTTACAGCTCAAGGTGGCATTTTTTGAATACCATAGGTTCTCTGAAAAACATGAAAGTAAAATGTTTTGCTTCTTTTGTAGCTGCTGTCTCTGCTGGCCTTCATCTGTGAAGAGGTTGTATCACAGTGCACTTTGTGTGGAGGACTGTACTTTTTTGAATTTGTGAGCTGTAGTGCCTTTCTCCTGAGCCTCCTCCTTCTGATTGTTCACTGCACTCCAGTGCACGACAGAGTCGATGCTGAAAAAGTCAAATCATCGGTAAGCCGGGAAATCCAGTCCCTCTTATGGGCACAGCTGTCTTGTAATCTTGAGTGCTTTTAATGTTCAAAGTGTAGTAATACTTTCCAAACTCAGCACCATAGAGAGACCCTACCCATTATTTCTACTCTGCCTCTAACAACTAGGCTTTCCTTCTAAGGCAAGATGGAGAGGGAAAGTGAGGCTGTGGTCAGAGTGACAGCCCTGCCAACAGTTTACAGTTACTAGTGGCTTCATCTCATTCACATTAGACGCTCTTTCTTTTTATTTCTCATGGTTCTATCATTATTTTGTCCCTATTAAATGCCAGACATCATGTTACACATTGGAGATATGAGCAGTGAACTAACAGGAGACTTCTGGGGGTTTAAACAGAACAACATGATGAAATTTTATGGGTTTGTTTTTTTTGTTTGTTTTTTTTTTTGTAGTACTGGGGTTTGAACTCAGGGCTTTGTGCTTGCAAGGCAGGTGGTCTACCTTTTGAGCCACACTCTCAGCCCTATCTGTTTTGATTTCATTCTAGCATGAAAAAACTTGTCTCTTTTAAGTGAATGAAGAATGCATTTACTGGCTCATTGTTCAGAAATTTCCTTTATAATAAAATTGTGTTGGGGAAGTCTTTCACAAAATTAGAGGTATTTAACTTTTTTTTTTTTTGGTGGTACTGTGGTTTGAACTCAGGATCTCGTGCTTGGCTAAGCAGACACTCTGAGGTACTGAACTTTCTAAAGGGAATCTTCTGACCCTTTGTTTTTACTTGAGTATAGTTTGGATTTGTGGGGTGACACGAAAATAATTCACGTAAGTCCTGAATTTAAGGAAGAAAGAATTGAGCAATTTGCTTCTTCATTTGCATCTGAGTTGTCAGTAGTAGTTTGTGAGGAATTGTATGTGTTATGGCTGACATAAAGAAATTTACATCTCTGAGGGTAAGGATAAAAATTAGAGATTTTAAACTACTAACAACAAGAGATAGCAGTATAAAAAGTTGTAGGATTCCCTTTTAAATTGATGGTGAGTAAGCACCTAACATACACAGAGTACTTCAAAAGGAAAGAAAAATGCTTTTTCTGCTAGAAATAAGATGAAATTGAAATAAATCCTTTGGCTTTGATAATTTTAATATGTCCTAGGGAAGAAGATACACACACACGGCCTCTGTGGGCTTTTTATTAAAAGATTATCTCCCATTATCCTCTGTCAGTATGCCCAGCCCAAACCATGAGTAGTGTTTGTATGCCAGTTAGAAATTGAGTATGTAATTTGGGTTGTGTCAAGAAAAAAGTCAGTCAGTCATTGAAGCTGTTTGAAATTGAAAATGGAAACCTTTGCTTCTATGAATCTAATCATACTGTGTGCCTTGTGTGTTTTCTGTGTGTGTGTAGGATTTCTACATTACCTTGGGAACAGGATGTGTATTTCTGTTGGCATCTATCATTTTTGTTTCAACCCATGACAGAACCTCAGCTGAAATTGCTGCAATTGTAAGTACTTTGTATTTTTAACTTTGTTTATTCTTGTTCCTTAGAAATACAGAATTTGGAAAATACTTGGTGAGTTTTACAATACATGAGAGTACTTTGTCTTTTAACTTACTTTTTAATATAATTTTGAATAGAAGACTAAAAGTAAAAATGAGAGCTTTAAACATAGAAACTTTAGAAGTTGACTGAGTTTTGTTACTAAAAATCCATTTACTCTATATGTGAATATGTTACTGCTAATGTATATCATCTTTTTTTTTCATTCTGTTTTTTGCAGTACGGGGGTTTGAACTCAGAGCCTTCACCTTGAGCCACTCCACCAGCTCCCCTTTTTTCTTGTGATGGGTTTTGTCAAGATAGGGTCTCAAGAACTATTTGTCCGGGCTGGCTTTGAACCAAGATCCTCCTGATCTCTGTCTCCTGAGTAGCCAGTATTACAGGCATGAGCCACTGGTGCCTGGCTAATTTATCATCTTAATAAAATTTTCCGCTTCATCAAAGGCATAGCTATATGTCAGGTACTATTCTAGGTGTAGAGATACATAGGAGAAATGATTTGAAGGTTCAGCCCAATAAAGAAGATAGATAAGCAAACTGTAATATGAAATGAACCAGTAGAAGGTTGTCTAGACAGTAGGTTTTTTGTTGACTTGTTTGTTTTGTGGTCCTGGGGCTTAAACTCAGGGCCCCGGCTTGCTAGGCCACTTGAGCCCTGCCCCAGTCTTTTGGTTTTTAAGTGTTCTTTCTTTCACTTTTTTTTTTTTTTTTTTTGTGGTACTGTGGTTTGAACTCAGGACCTGGCACTTGTTAAGCTTGTGTTCTCTCACTTGAGTTACACCTCCAACCCTTTTTTTTTTTTTGGTTGTTTTTGAGATAGGTTCTAACATTTATGCCTGGGCCAGCCTGGATGGCCATGCTCCTGTTTACACCTCCTGAGTAGCCCCTGCCACCATGCCCAGCTTTTTATTGGTTGAGGTGGGGGTCTTGTGAACTTTTTGCCCAGGATGGCCTCAAACCACGATTCTTCCAGTGTCCACCTCTTGAGTAACTAGGATTATCCAAGCTAGTGTTTTTTTCATATGGGGTTCTGTACTTTTGCCCAGACCAGCGTTGGACTGTGATCCTCCTACTTCACCTTTCAAGTAACTGGGATTACAGATGTGCTGACATGTGACACTGGGAACAGCTTTGTTTTTGAGATAGGGTCTCACTGATTTTTTTGCCTTGGCAAAAAACTGCCATCCTTCTGCCTCTCATGCCTGAGTAGCTGGGATTCCTCAGCTAGACAGCGGTTTTCAGAGTTTATCAAGACTTTGTAAGGAGTACTAGACAGGAATAGTTTTTGAGGAAATCAGTTTCCAGAGTTTTAATTTATATCTGGTACAGGAGTCTAGCCAGTTCCTTTTCACAGTCTCTATTACCCCAAGAAAGGAAAAATTTTCTTTCCTGTCCCAAATCTTACTATCATGCATTACACTGAATTATAACACAGCACAAAACAAAAAAAAACACCTTTGAGTACAACAAAGGGATAATTGACAATAAAGATCCAGCAGCCTGTATCTGAATCACTGGGGCTAGATTTTTTTTAGAATTCAGAATATTCTGGGTTTTAGGAAGATAATATCATGCATATCATATATTACACAGCATCTTCAGAAGGCCTGAGGCAGCTCTCTTTACCTATCATTAATATTTTTGAAGCAAAATAGATGAACAATTACAGTAAAAAGAATAAAGCAAAGACTATAGTCTTCATGTCAATTTTGAGTTAAGTGAGTCATGAAAACTTTTGAGTTTCTATAGCCTCTTGGGTTTCAGAATTGCAAATCAAGGCTCTCAACCCAGATTGGTATCAGGCAAGTGAGTGTGGATGACGAGCAGCGGGGTGGCAAATCCTCTTGCAAGTCAGCTGGTGTTCAATTACTGCTTTGCTTTTAACCAATTGAAGCTGCAATTATTGGAGTTGTCAGCTAATAGTAGGTTATTAAAACTACTTTTTATGATAGAACAATGCAGAAGAGTTCAGAGAACTGCACAGCTATGATATGCCTACGTATTCTCGTGATCACCGTTTCTTAGTACTTTCCTTTTTTTTTCCTGTACTGGAGTTTGAACTTGAGGCCTCACACTTGCTAGACAGGTGCTCTACCACTTGAACCACTCCACCAGCCCAAGCACTTTACACATGTAAGAACCAAACAGATAAAGTTAATGCTGACCCTTGACTCATTCTAGCAATGAGTAATATCTATCGCAGGATACCTGAACCAGTTGAAGAGAAATTTGAAGTTTTAATAGGGCATTATGGTTAATTTCAGTTTATATACTTATTTTTATCACAGAGATTGTGATAGAATGAATAACAAAATAGGAGTATAAAAATATTGCTATAAAATTCTGTGGGGTAAGTGAAATGAAGTTGAAGGAAAATTGAGTTCTAAGAGGAAAAAACATGGCATAAAGTTCTCAGCTATGAAAAAAGAGTTTATGTGTTCTTTAGATGTGTTAGATTGTTTCAGTATTTAGATCTTATTGGACATATTTAACAGTGACTGCTGATGTGAAGAGCCAATATTTAATCTGGAAGTATTTTATATATTTAAATGAGGGAGTCTGTTTAAAAAATAAGCAAATAAATAAAATTGGGAACTGTGTGAGCAAAAGAACCAGATAGGGCGAAGATTGTGTGATGAGAGGGTCCTGTATGGTTTTGATCTCTGGTGTTCAGAGACAGCTTGACACACAAAGTGACATCTGTCTACATTTGGGGTGTTCAGGAAGCTTGCAGGCAAGTAAAGGACAGATCAAGACTCCAGATTGGAGGATGATGGGTTTGATAAATAAATTTAGGTTGCATATGCCAGCAGCATCCAGGTGAGGCTGCAGAGCTCAGTTTGCTGTATGGTGAGGTGATACAGGATGTATCTCCCTTATAGAGTGGAGGGGATGGAGAAGGGAAGAGTCAGGGGACATAACACTGCCACAGAATGTTAGAAGTCATGCAGGTGCAAGCCGGGTGTTGTGGTGCACATCTGTAATCCCAACACTCAGGAGAATGAGGCTGGAGGATTGTGAGTTCAAGGCCATCCTGGGGCAAAAACAAAAAATAAATAAAATAAGGCCAATGGAGGTGGAGCGTTAGAGTTGGAAGAAACCTTAGTCATCACCTAGAGCAGTTTTCCCTGTTTTATAGAACACTTGTTTGGCCTCCGTTGCCTGAAGGGTTTTGCTAGTGAAGAAGTTCAGTTTGAATTGTGGTCCTTCGTCTGTTGACAGAATTCTCAAATGTTTGGTCATATGTTAGAAGAATACAATGAGGAAGTGGTTTAAGGAAGAGGAAGAATGTAGAGTTGTCATGTCGCTGTGTCATTGCAGTGTGACAGTTAACTGGGAAAGTGTATTTCAGTTAATTTAACCTAAGAGTATCTCCAAAATGGAATTTCTGTTTTGATATTAATGACTTTATCCATTCTCACATAGGCTCAATTGCCTATTCATGTATTTCCCTGATCATGTCTGTTAGTCCTGTGTTTTATACCATTTTATAGGATTTTTTTTATCTATTGACCTTAGTTTCATATGTACACATGCATACATAAGACAGGGCATTTGGGGCCGGGTGTAGCTCATTGGGAGAGTGCTTGCCTAGCATGCATTAATTCTGGGTTTGGTCACCAACACTACAAAAACAAAACAGAAGACAGGACATTGTATTTTGTGGGACTTGGACTAATGGGAATTTTTGTTTTGAGCCTGTTTCCATTTTTTGATGGCTTAATTTTTTTTTTAACCATTAAAGAATAGTAGGTATAAAGATAAAATTTCTAAATTGTCTTGCTAACATGAAGCACTCACAGATCCAGATGGGAAATGTAAGATTATATTCCACATTTCCTCCGTAACATTTCTCTCTTATCTTTCTCAGGTGTTTGGATTTATGGCGAGTTTTATGTTCCTGTTTGACTTTGTTGCTATGCTCTTTGAAAAACGACAGGAGGCCCAGCTAAGAAAACCTGAGACTGCTGGTAGAGCAGAAGCCCTCACAGAACCACTGAACGCTTAACACTGAAGAACTGGTGCTGCAGAACAGAGCGGCCATTCCCCAGCTGCCTGCGCTCTGCAGGAGCTCTGCTGAACTTGTATGATTAATTGTTTAAGCCACTTCTTCTGGAGGGCAAGGGCAAGAAGCAGTTCTATCAATACTGGTTTGTGTGGCTGTCACTGCAAATTGGGTCACGGGTTTTTTAAAATAAGTATTGAAACTTGTCTCAAGTGGAGGCTTTTTTGTAGGAGAGGAGGACAGTTGTTTCCTTAAGTCATGTAGGTCAACTGATGATAAAGCTGTCATTGTGTGGCAGGACATTCTGTTACAGGCTTAGCTTCTAAATTATGCTTTATAGCTCTATAAACAGCATGATCATACTCATGTATTTAGAAATTGTTTCACTTTTAATTTGCTTACCTATTAATGATTTGTGCTGATTAGACTATGTTTTGTTATTGGAAATTTAATGTTTATATGAGATCAGTGCTTAAAATATTGGTCTGGGTTTTTTTCCATAATATATATAATACTTCGCTTTATTGTATCTCACTCAGCCTTAAAATTCTGTGGTAACATTTTAGAATAATTACTAACTCTTCTGAGACTTTGCCTAGCCTAATAGGAAATGTATGGAAGATGTTGGCATTTTATGCATGTAAAAGCAACATCAGCAGCCTCATGTTCATGTTGCACTTTGGTTGTTGAGATCAAGTGAAAAGAAAGATCATGTAATACATAGAAATATTGAAGAAACTGATAATCTCACCTAAGGATCAAAGACAAACAAGATAAACTTTTTGTTCTCCAGTACAGTGGAAGTAATTTTAAAAACAGGCTTTGACTGCTTAGTACTTAAGTGAAGAAAGATGAGTTCATACTATGAGTTAGAAAACTGTCAGTCTACCACTGGCTCAAGTGGTAGAGTGCCTGCCCAGCAAGCACAAAGCTGTGAGTTTAAACCCCCTTGCCACAAAGAGAAAGAAACAGTCTTTCACTCTGTAGGCATATGATTATTTCTACTTGAATTAATGCAGCTCCATGGGCCTTCTTTAGGGTTTTCTTTGAGCCATTCTTTTTAAAACCCCTGCCTCTGATTTCTCTTTGAGATGCTCCCTTTTCTGACTTTTTATCAGAATGGTCCATGTGCTCTTTCACATCTGGCAGAGGTGAGCCTCTGGCTTTTATTCTTTCTCATAGCCAGTTGTCTTCACATGGTCCAGAATCTTAGGCCTTCTCAGGGCATGTCCTTGTTCCCACCTGGGCATTGCTTGAATTTATCTTTAGAGGAGACATCTTAAGAAAGTGAGCCTCCAGAAACCCTGCTCACATTTGTTCTGTTGACCTAAGGGAGTAGTCAGACCATTCCCAAGAGACTTCACAACTACTTTTGATAATTGATAATTGTCTGCTGCAGGCAGGTTATGTTAGAGACACACAGGTGCAACCTTTCTGCCCAAATTGTACAGACTAGAACCTTTTGTCATTTTAGAGATTTGATCTGAGAGTCTAGTGCTGTGATGATGAGTCTGTATGTCAAGTCCTTCTGTACTTTGGTGGAAGTTTCCCAGGCTGGGTCTTCTCTCTGAAACCTTGAATCATGTTTCTAGGGATAGAATTGAATGTCTCCATCCTTTTTTAGTTTTTCACCTGACATTTATATTTTAAAGATGGCTTTCAGTTACATGAATGTGGCTATTGTAGTTTTCAGAAATTGGTCAGTCTGGGCAGACAGCTCCTGCTCTATATTACTGACTCAGTACCCTACTCATTTGTATTAGAGTTTGGATTTTATGCTTGAGAGATGATGAAACCAGTCATGGATGCTGTTTTTACTAGGCATGTCATCTAAGAGGAGAAATAGTGGAGTCTTGGGAACAAAATAAAGACTGATTCAAAGGGAACCAGTTTATGGTAGGCACTTGTAGAATTTCACACTAAACTGTACTATTAGTCATTTTAAATGTTACCTAGACCTATCTAGAATTCACAGCAAATTATCTGGGCTACCTCAGTCTCACCACCTGTGCTAGTCAGCTTTCTGTTACTATAATGAAAACCTGAGATAATTATTTAGATTTATTTAGGTTCACAGTTTTGAAGGACATGAAGTCCACGTTTTTTGGACCTGTGGTGGGGAATGTGTGGTGGACCAAGTTTCTTGCCTCATGGCATCCAGGAAGCAAAAAGGGAAAGAGTGGAAGAGACTAAGGTCTTACAGTGCCCTTCAAGGGTAAGCCCCAGTGACCTGTATGTAACCTCTGCTAGTCTACCACCTCCGTGATACCATTCTGGGGAATAAGCCTTTAATACCTGGGCCTTTAGAGGACATCCCAGTTCTGAACTGTAGCACCACTAGTGAGTACACTGGCTTAGTCAGCATTGACAGATATGTTCTGAGCTGGCTTCACACATGTGGAAAGTTTTCGTGGGGCTCACGCTGGGCTTTTTCTGAGGGTTCACCTTCATTCCTTCCATTGGTGCAGAAGGACCTCTTAATTGGACTTGAGTTTTGGTCAGTCTTAGAACCTTCTATCTTACTGTTTTTAATGGGATGTATGCATGGTCAGCCTTTCTGTTCTATTTGGAAGGAAATAGGAGTAAAAAGACCTGTGGTAAGTAAACTCAAAGGGAGCGTTGACCAGAAACTGCTGTTACGTACAGAAGAGGGCAGCCTCAGCGAACCCAAATTTTAGGATAATTTTTAATTAATAGCTGTGGCAAGTTTGTTATATTTTACACAAACAGATTGTTTGGAATGGTTCTTAAGAATTATAAGGGAAATGTACTTACAGTACAAAAACTTTATAATTACTGTACTTAAATTGTGCTTTATTGGGGGACTGGGAAATGTATTTTTACATTGTTTATAGCCAATCATTTTTGTATTTGTCAACTTAAATCCTGTGGGTCTTTTTTTATCTCTCTAATATCAAATTTTATAGTGTACTTTTAAAATAAATCTATTTAATTAAAATGTTCTATCTTGATAGTTGTTTATTGCAGAAACATGTTTAAATGAAACTTTCTGCATGGTTTTGGGAGTTGGGTGTACAACTTTCTCAAGTGCCTACATAGACTACTAGATTGTGGATATACCCCCGATGTAAGAGGAGAGGCAAGAAAAGACAAACCATTCCCTGTGTGAGAAACAAATCCCTTCCCTCTCACTGGGAGGTTAGAATGCACACTTAAGTTTTTGCTGGATGGGTGGGAGCACACCTGTAATCCCAGCACTCAGAAGGCTGAGACGGGAGCATTGTGAATCTGAAGCCAACCTGGGGACCTGGTGAGACTCTGTCTGAAAAAAACAAAAACAAAGCAAGCAAAAAACATTTTTAGGGAGTCGTATATAAAAAGATTGCTGTTGACTAACTGCCTTTACATCTTTTGGAAGCACATTTGGGCTGTGCACCACACTGCTAGATGCGGCTAATAACAGTGCCACAAATAAAATGGGCTCACTCTGTTTGCAACTGTTCAATGCCGGAGAGAGTGTGAAGCAAAACCAGGGAGGTTCTGGTGAAGCTGGAACTGTTTGTGCAGTTTGCAGAATTCCTGCCTCCAGTCTGTGAGAATAACAAGGCCTTCATAGTCATCGGGAACTGCTGGAATTTGTGCATTCTTCAGAGGTTTTTGTTTTGTGTCTATAGAGAGCATTGTATTTATGCAGTAAGCTGTAAGGAACAGAAAACTTAATTCAATGTATCTTAAACATTAAGGAAAACTTCACAAGAAATCTGGGCAGGAGTGCCAGGTGCATGCCTGTAGTCCAGCTGCTGAGGAGACCAAAGCCTGAGGACCTGCCTTGGCCTCCTGAGGGCTGGGATTGCAGGTGTGTTCCCACCACACCCAGAAAAAGTGTAGTTTAAATTATCTTCCCACAAGAAGGGGAGTTCTTGCATAGGAATGGGTTTGTTTCTTTCCTTGCTTCTCCCTTTACACCTGGGCAGATCCACAGCCTAGTATTCTGTGTAGGCACTAAATATGGTTGAAACTATCTCCCACAACTCTGCAGAAAGTTCAAGACCAGCCTTAGTGGCTCAACAGCGTCATTGTGGACCAAATTGTTTCCATGTTTCTCTGCGCAGCCATCTGCTGTGTGACCTTTGTACTTATGGTTATAGCAAGATGGTGGCAACAAGTCCAGGCTTCATCTCTTGCACAAGTGTCTGAAGAAGAGAAGAACTTGTTCACCTTCATGCCTTCCTTAAGAGATGGTTAGGAGATGTTCCTTTGTGCACCGGACCCTTGGTGTACTTTGCTACTTGTCTTACTGAAAGATGTTAAATGCACTTTTTTTTTTTTTTTT